TAGACAAGGGCTCTGAATTCTGGCTCTGACTGTATCGGGGTGGGGAACCTGCAGCCTCAAGGCCACACATAGCCGTCCAGCTCCTCAAGTGCAGCCCCATAACTGAGTACAAACTTCACAGAAAAAATCCCTTTATTAAAAGGATTTGCTTGTAAATTTTGGATCCAGTCAAAAGGCCACAATCAAACATCCAGAAGGCCACATGTGACCCTAAGGCTACACAACCCTGAAGTTCAGTGGCTTAAGACAATAAAAGTTTCTCATTTATACTCTATGAACAGTAGAGGTATGAGGATGCCAGTGATTCTGAAAGCTTCCACCTAGAGGTGCCACTCACTGTCTACCACATTTCATTGGTTAAAGTGGTGTGGCCACAGCTCTTATCAAAGAAGAATAAGGGCGTGTCGGCCTACCTTGTGCCAGGAGACAGAGAGCTGGAAATATTTGGCAAACTGCACTAATGACTACTTTCTAGCCAAGTGAACTTTGAGCTCATTTCCTCCTCTGCAAAATGGGGATGACAACAGTATTGACCTCACAGATTGTCGTGAGGAGTGAAAGACTTACCTACCCAACACCCTTGGCACAGTGAGGCACATGGGTAATAAAACTTAGATCCCCTTGCAAGCAGCCCCTGGCAAGGTTGAGACCAGGACTTTGTGTGTCATGAGGACCCAGCCGGCCAAGGCTCCACGTTCTGCAGACACTCACTCTGGATAACGAGGCCCCACCACTGAGTAGGAAGCAACAGAAATATCATTTTCTGAAACCTGTCTTCTCCCAGCCTCTGGATCCAAAACTGACCACTTGGGCCAGGCAATGATCACTGCTGTAACCTCCAATCCCGTCCAGCTTTGTTCATAATCATCTATAAGATATCCCACCCCTCCTCAGACTTGCCCGCTGTCCAGTTAAGAGGATAGAAGCCCTTTAAAGAAGGAATGGAGAATCTGAGGGAAAAGAGAAGGAAATTAACATCTGTCTTATGCTGAGCACTATGGTGAACACATGGCCTGGGTTACCTCATTTCAACCTCATAATAGTCCTATGAGGTGAGTGTGATTATCTCCATTCTGAGATGTGGGAGCTGATGCCTCATAACAGCCCTGGATTACACAGCTAGTAAGTGGCAGAGGTGGGATTTGAACTCAGTTCTTTGTGACTCAGAAGACCCCACTTCAGACCTAACGTTTGGTGAGACCTGAATATAAATTCACCAACAGTCCAATCTCAGATGTTTAGGCCTTGGGTCCTATTGTGCCATCACTGTCCCTGCTCTGGGATTGTAGGGACCACGTGTTTAGTCATTGCACTACCTCACTGTGCAACTTTGTTCCTTTACCTTCCTTGGCCTCAGTTTCTTTAGCTGAAAATAAAAGGACTGGACTAGACTATCTTAGGGTCTTTCTAAGTCTAGGATTTGGTGACACAGGTTACTCAATGCTCGCTCCTGCCTTTGGCCCTAATACTGTATTAGGATGCATCGCAAAGTGGAAGGGTGCATAAAGATCCCATGTTTGAAGTTACACAGAGTAATAACTAAATCATTATTTGACACTAAAAATTGTTTTTAAGATTGATGGGGTGTTTGTAATCTATAGCAGTTCTCTCCCTTCCTTGCTATTTATAACAAACTCTGGTTTCCTCTGTGGCTAAGTCTGTCTCCTCCTGTAAAAGAGGAAGTCAGGCTGAACCTGTGCCTGAGCTAAGATCTTTTGAGCCTGTAACCCCATAGACCCCTTCTGGGGTCTGAGTTCCTGCTGATGGGAAGAACTAGGGTCTGTCTCCAGGTGGGAATTAGAGGGTACAGCTGAACCATCTGCCAGCAGGATGGGCCATGTCTGTTCTCTCGCGGAACTAAGCACAGATGCTAGGGTGGGGTTGGGGTTAGGACAGAGGTCCAGAACTCCATATCTTTGACCCTCAGAACTGTGGATCAATGCTCAGATAGTTTTTGCAAATGTCAGTGCCCGGTGCTAACTCTGCAGAAGATAAAAGGGAACAGAGCTCAAATTCAGATCACCTTTGGAGACATTTCTGAGGCCTATAGCCATAGGTGTCTCTTAGGTGTTTTGATTTGTTGCTGTAGGGTGGCTGTTGAGAGCTGGGACGTGCCTGAGAGATCTGGGCCAGATGGCTGCCCCACGTTGCTACAGGAGTAAATTTCAACTACTGTAGCGTGGGAGCTTCCTGCCTCGGAAAGGGGCCCCAACACCTCCCCCATTTTCCCATCTGCCTAACACCCACAGCTTCTGTCAGAAGAAATGATGACAGCCCCAAGATGCCTGAGGGAAGTGCCTCAGCTCAGGACAGGAGTGGGGGCTCAAACCCCTGTCCAGTTAGGAGGCTCCGTGTTAGCCCATGATTGTGCGTGCGTGTGTTTGCTTCTCTCAGGCAGAGAGGAAACCACTGGGGTGGGGAGATACGCATATAGGTAACTGATCCTGAGAAACTTGAGGGCTTGAAGGGCGGGAAAGAAATTGCAGCTGGGAAGAGGTAGAGCGGGTGGGAGAGAGGGGCACAGGAACAACCAGAGAGAAGCAGCAGCAGCTGTGTTGAAGCTGGACAGAGACTACTGGAAAGGGAACAGATTTTCCTAGATTCCCTCTGTCCATCTAACCTGATCTCCTCAAGCAGCAGTTTAAGCCTCTTTCCCACCTTGCATCCCACTCCCTCTGCCCAGTTACCTCCTTACTCTTGGCAGCAGAGGAAGCCCAGAAGGGTGCTACTGAGGTGGCTAAGGTAGCCTAAGTACTCAGGCCCTGACCTCTCTGAGGCCTGCGTTTCCGACCTATGGGCAGCCCAACTTCCCGTGGCTCAACACTCTGCGGCCTAGAGGGATGCAGAGGGGGTGGGTAGCAGCTCTGGAGGCATTTCCCAGCAGTAGAAGAGTGAGTCAGAAGGGTCACCTACAGTCAGAAGTCAGAGAGGACCTCCTGCAGACAGGAAACCAGAGCTGGGCCCCAGAGAAGCCCAGGGACGGGTGGGTGGGAAAACAGCTTTGCAAAATGAAGCATTATAATTCAGGAGTGCTAAACCTGGAGCCTGCTGTGCCTGGAGGAAAAGCCTGAGGCAGCTCAGTTTCCTTCCCTCTGGTCAGTTGCTTGGACTAATCTGGGAAGTCTGAAATCAGATGCGGGAGTTCAAATCCTCAAACTGTTTGCTGCTATCTTGCATGAGATCTGCCAGACTGAAAAAGAATATTAAAGCTAGCTCACAAGATTATGGGGATAAAATGAGAAAGAATATGCACATAAAGTATTTATCTGTAGAGGTGGTCCATACATGTTAAATCTCTTCTCCACTTTTTATTTTGGTTGGAAGATGGGAAAGAATGTCCACGGTCTGACTCCTCTGCTGGCCTCACTCTGGGAGGGGTGATCCACTGAGTTCAGGGAGAGCTTTCCAGGTTCAAATGTTAATAAAGGGTGAGGACCTCCTTCTCCCACTCCCACCCCAGGGGCACTGCTGGTGGCACTCTTCCTGCCAGGAGGGTGGAGAGGGTGTGTTGATTTGCCCTTGGAATTATCTTTGTTTTTGGTTTGACCTTAATAGGTCTAGTCAAGTAGATCTGAGCTACTGGATGGAGCAGTAACTGCTGGGGGAGAGTGGGAGTGGGAAGGGGAGGAAGATGGCACCAGCAGATGCATCTTCAGACCCTAATCCACACCCTTGCCAAAATTTCTGATGTAGTTTCATCATCTGAGGGTGATGCAAGACGACTGGAGTCAGACACCCCTTCCTACCCTCCCCCACAAATCTCCGTCCACATCTGGAGCTGGAGCTGGGTCCTCCTCTTGGGCTCTTTCCAGGAGAGGGAGCTGGGTGAAGTAAGGGAGGGAGGGCAGCTGGTGAGGGGCCTGTGAATGGCCCTAATGTTGAGGGTTGTGGGGTGGGGAGGTGGAGGTCTGGTCTCAGAGTGGGGGAGGTGGACTGGAAAGGGAGCTGTGACTTTGCAGCACTGGTCTCCTCTTTCCTCACTGTCCCATGATAGTTTCAGTAGCTCCTCTTTGCCCTTTCTATCCCCTCCAGCAGGCAGCTGCCCTCCTTCTTCTCTTCCCACTCACTTCAAGGCCCAGCCTCTCTACCCAGGTGCTCCGAACTGGAACTGAGTGACCCCTTTGTTCCCTCTTCTCCTCCAAGGCAGCTTGGACCTCCCACCCTGACCCTCTGCCCCTACTGCCACAACAAGTAGAGTGTGGGCCAGGCCCAGTGTGGTCATCTATAGGTCATAAAGGTCAATGGGACTGTGGTCTAGCACGAGGGAGGGGCCGGTCTGGGCTAGAAGCCTGGCTAGGAATCAACCAAAAAGATGAGCGCCTTAAAATGCCATAGGGCAAAGGTGGGGGGAATTTTAGTTAGGCACTAGCAAGAACCCCCTTTAATAAAGGTTGGTGAATTTACTGGAATAAATGCAAAAGGGAAGCTTTCCTGGTTCTTCAAACTATAAACCGCTAATCTCTGTGGGATGCTTTGAAGTGTAGCGCTTTGCCAGGGAGACCCAGGTTCTTACCATGCTTAGCCACTAACTTGCTTTGTGACCTTGAGTAGTTTCCCTCTTTGCGTCTGAGTTTCCTCATTTATGAAATGAAGGTCCCATTCAGGATGAGGCTCTGCGATTCCAGCGGTAGAGGTTCCAGCGTGGTCTGCTTCGCAGCGTGCCACTCCAGAGCCCCGAACCCCGACCCCCATCCCCCAATCCCAGCTGCCCCGCCCCCCAGCAACCGGGTGGACGCCAGCCAAGAGGTCCCTTTAAAGGCGCAATCCCGCCCCCGATGCTCGTTCGGGCCTTCGATTGGTGGCTCCTGGACGGGGCGGGGCCCAGCGCGGGCTCCGCCGGGCTCGGGGGCGGGTCCTGTGCCTGCTCGGCCCCCGCCCCCTTTGTTCGCGCTCCGGCGGGAGGTGGCGGTCGGGGTGGGAGGTGTGTGCGCGAGTGTGCAGCGCGGTGGTGAGCTACGAGTCGCGCCGCCGGCTGTCAGCTAGCTCCGCGCCACCGCCCGATGGCGCGAGGAGGCGCGCGGGCCCAGTACGCGGGGGCTGGCCGCGGGTGAGCCCCTCTGTCTGCCGCCCGCGAGCATGTCACCTCTAGCTGCCGCGGCAGCCACCGCCTGCAGTGCCAGTGCCCCCGCCTCCCGCGGCCTCAGCCGCTGCCTCAGGCATTGGCCCCCGGACCCCCACCCCTGATACAAGCCCAGACCCCTAGCGCCAGAGGACCATGGCTGGCCAGGGGGACTGCTGCGTCAAGGTGGCCGTCAGGTAGGGACCAGCGACGGGGAAGAGGGACCCACGGAGGTGGCTCAGGCTTTGTCTCGCGTGGGCTCAGGGCCGGGGGCGCGGGCACCGCTTGAGCTGGAGCCCGCACTCCCGAAGGAGGGGCCGGTGTGGGCCAAGCTGGAGGGCGCCACGCGCTGGCCGGGCTGTCTCAGGGGAGTGGCGACCCCGCGAAGGTGGCTTTGTTTGGGTGGTAATTTCAGGCCCCTCTTGGGAGCCCTTAATGATCAGAAAATCGAATAAACAAGGAAATCCGGTATTTCACACCCAGCCCTGGCCCAGGCCGAAGCGTCTGTGTGTTTCCTCTCCGCCTCCCCACGAGGCTGCTGTCTCATGTGGGGATGTTGTAGGGAAGAAATTTTCCCTTCATTCACCCCTGTCAGCTAGTTCTGTGTTCTTGGTCCAGCTAGTGAAGGCAGCATATCCTCTCCAGGAGCCGGTTCTGCAGACAAAGATCTGGTGCGAGGACCAATGGAAGATCTGGGAGGGTGCGTTAGCCTTCTGTGGGGAGTCAATGGCTTTTGGAGAGAATCCTGCTGGTCCTGTCCCAAGAAGAGATGGGGCTAGGGAAGGGGGGAAGAAGTGTATCTAAGGTGCTACCCTCTGAAAGGGCAGGAAGGTATGATTCTAATGCCCCATCCTTAGACACTTAGATAAAATGGAGGAGGGGAGGGCTGGTAGACTTATTCCGGGTTTCATTCTCAACAGCTCTGAGACTTGAAGTGATATCCCCATAGAAATGAGGCAAGGAGAGGACAAGCCGGGTAGATTGTGTTGGGTGGGGTACATACATAGAGGTGCGGGGGCAGGAAATGCTGTGAAGTTGAACCATCTGTGCTCTTTGTGCTGGGTGGAGATGCTTTGCACCACATCACCTCTGCCAGTTTTTGTTTTGGGTTTTTCTCTTTGAGAGGGGTGTATTGGTGGCAGAGTGCCAATGTGGGACTTTTCACCAAGGTAGAAGTGTGGAGAGAACATCTATCTCTGCCCCAACCCTGTATGATGGATGGCAAGAGGGGTTCAGGTCTAGGATAGGTCTCTGAGACAGGTCTCTAGATCCCCTGGGTCACATGTGACCCGGATTAGAAGGGTCCTGAGAGTTGCTTCTAGAAAGGGTCAGAGATGGCGATGGAAAAGCTTTCCCCTGCCTGTTCCAGGGCAGATGCCCCTGCCACCTGGTCAGCCCTCTACAGCCCAGAGAAGAGGACCTTGCCTCTGATCAGTGCTGGGATTGAGGGAGGGAGATTGAGGGACCTCCACCCTTGCACCCCAAGCAGCACTGGAGCATCACTTGAGCACAGCCTTCCTGGCCCTGAACAGCCAGGGAGACAAAGAGGAGCCCTGCAGGTGCCTGGTGGGCTGGCTGGGGCGGGGCCAGGCTGCTGCTGGGACTGACATTGCAGCAGGATCCAGTGTAGGTCGAGGGAGGGGGTGCATGGGTGAGGGGTGGGAGTGAGAAATGTAAATATGGCATCTGCAGCAGATTGGGAGAGTCCAAAAACACCATAAAAGGGAAATCTGAAGCTCTGGCCCCTACCCATTGTGAACTAGGACTGGAAAGGAGGAAGGTTAGGGTGCTCCTTCCACAGGGGGCTTTCCTTTAGACTCCATCTTGCAGAGCCAAACAAAGCCTGTCTCCCCCCTACACACACACCTCTGTTCAGGGTCCCTGAGCTGGAATGGGGGGCATGGTAAGGGGTGAGGCTTCTACCTGGGGAGTCTTATAGGACTGGCATCTTGTATAGAAGAGTGAGGAAAAGCTAGTGTTTCCTTCCCACTACTAGAAGGTCCCTGGAACCCTTTCTACAGAGAAAGGACTTTGCCTGCCCTCTGCACTTAGTTTTTCAGGGTGCAGTGTGTCATCTTTGCTTCCTAGTCAGATTGCCCTAAGTGGTGTCAGGATGCCTCCATGCTTTGCCTTGCATCACTGATCTGGATGGAAGAGTAGGGGGTTTGAGTATCTTCAGGGGCTTTGGGAAAGTGAGGCCCCCACCCACTCCTCTGCTTCACCCCAGCATGAGTGCCCAGCCCCAGCACACGCCAGACCTCAATGGGCAGCCGGCCGTGGAAGTCAGACAATGGCTGGACAGAACCCAGCTTCTAATCAGAGAGCTGAGGATAGGACTGGGCCAGGGCTGGGCTGGGCTGGGAGGGGGAGCAGATGGTGCTAGTGACAGGTTGTAAGGTTGTAGGGGAGAGTTCTTGTACCCCCCTCCCTCTACCCTCAGAAATCACTTATCCCATCTAAAAGACTGGGTGGTGATGTGCACTAGTGTAGAGCACTTATGGGAAAGACAAAGATTTGGGATTGCCTAGAGCCTAGCCCAGCTCCAGGGGTCACTACCTCCTGCCAGGTTTAGCTGTCTTTCTGACTTTCTGGAAGTCCTTTCCTGAATCTGGCTGAGTACTTTCTTAATTCCCATGAGAATAACTTGCAGTAAGCCCTGGATCTAGCTCTTCAGACTGGGAGACCTGGATGAGACAGATTTAGTCTGGGGTGTGTGTGTGTGTGTGTGTGTGTGTGTGTGCAGGGTGAGAGGCCCTGGAGCTGTTAGACTAGGTGAGAAGTACCAGGCCCAGGGTTCTTGGCCCTAGAAGGTGTTTGGGATGAGGAGCAAAGCTGGCTATCTGTGGAGGGCTGCTCTATGGGGAAGGCCTGGGCTCCAGAACAGGCAAAGAAGGACACTTGCAGGACCTGGGCCTTCAGGATAAGGAGAGAAGACCCAGGTGGGAGTAGACCCCCCAAAGTCCCACACTGTGGCTTCCCCAGCTAGATGGAGTCTGGTCCTTCTGCCCCTGAACCCAGGCTAGGTGGCTTTACACCAAGAGATTCCCAAGCTGGCCCCTCCAGCCTGCCCTGTGATCCCTTTATCCATTAATCCCCTTGTACTGTAAAGACTCTCAGCTTCCTGGGCTTGACTAGAACTGGCCTTTACCTGGGAGAAGAGGTGTGCAGAAGGGCCAGAGATAGGTGAGGCTGAGCTATGCCCCAGGCTGCAGAAATACAGGCCTGAATAGGAGGGGAGAAGGGGTTTAGCTATTAAGAAACGCAAGTTGGCAAAGTTAAAATTGGGGAAGGAAGCCAAGTCACATGGTGAGTTTATTTAAGACCCTTTCAAGCCCCTAGCTCTTAGCTCCCTCTATGAGGGGAGCCCTCAATGTTGCTTAGCCCCCTCCCCCTTATCTCTGCCTGGCTTCCCTAAGCTTCCTTCCTTTAGTCTGCTGGGGAGGGGGAGGTGCCTTGGCCAGTCCTGCATCCATCATTGAGACTATAGGCTTCAGCAAGGGATGGGGAGGAGGTTGAGGGGAACCCAAGAGATGGTATTCGAGTGCACCCCTCCCTCTCCTATTTGGGTTCTCTTGCTGCAGTTATTTGTCTAGTTGTAGACTACTCTGAAATCTTGGTCAATCACTGAATTTCGAGTCAAGAGCATCAGTGAGTTGGGAGAGAGAAACTGAAGACAACAGAAGAAACTGGGTGGGGGTAAGAATGTGGGGAGCCTTCTGAGTCCCAAAGCAAGTCAATGCCGATCATTGCCACTTGTGTCCCATGCTGTCCAGTTTATAGAACTGGGAAACTGAGGCCTAACCCGGACATCATGTGGGCAGTGTGGAGACCTGAATCTTGGTAGTGGCCTCCTGCTGCAGAAATAGGGCTTATGTCATCACAAGGAAGTAGAGTGTAGTAACCACAGGCCCCGGAAACCTCCTCCTCCCTCACCCAATAGCCTGCCTGATTGGATCTCAGCTTTAGAAAGCCTCCCAGTGGAGGTCGGGTGGGGCTGGGGAAGTGGCAGACACCCTCATTCTGACAGCTCTGGGAGCAAAGGGCAGGGCCTGAGCCAAGGCAGTTCATTCACTGGCTATATGAAGGGGTCCTTTCCCAGTTTGTCCTGCTGGGCCTCAGTTTTACCCAGTGGAGAATGGGAACAGCTGGTTTGTTCTGGCTTGTTCATGGGTGAAGTGGTTTGAATGAAGGAATTCCCTCCAAAGAGGAGGAACAAAATGTAGAGTAGACTCCTGAAGAGTTGAATATAAATAAAATGTTTTAAAAATAAGTCCTGAGTGGCACCTGTGGCTCAGTGAGTAGGGTGCCAGTCCCCATATACCGAGGGCCAAACTGCAACAAAAAAATAGCCAGGCGTTGTGGCAGGCACCTGTAGTCCCAGCTACTCAGGAGGCTGAGGCAAGAGAATCGCCTAAGCCCAAGAGCTGGAGGTTGCTCTGAGCTGTAAAGCCATGGCACTCTACCAAGGGCGATAAAGTGAGACTCTATCTCTAAAAAAATAAAAAATAAAAATAAGTCCTAACTATAATAGACCTGAGAGGTGTCTTTCAAGTTAAAGCTATAAGAAATTACGTGGTACATTGAATCCACCTCCCACCCCTTAATTAATTTAGAGCAGAAAGAACCTTGTGACAGAATGGAGTCTGAACCAAGAGGTGGCTAAGCACTGTGATTTACTGAACACCGTGCGGGCATTGTGCCTGCCTTATCCCATTAAAGCTGCCAGGTAACTAATATTATTCCCATTGTATAGACGTGAAAACACAGGCAGGAAATGGAAGAATCTGGATTTTAACCCAGGGCGCTCTTACTTGTGAGCCCATGCACTTGGAACTACTCTGAGCTGCCTCCTAATTCACCTGCTAATTAGTTCTGTGCTTAGAGTCTCCATGCCTCAGTTTGGGGAAGGCACAAGTGCTATGCAGATCCGAGGCTGTCTGGGTTTTCCCTGCAGTGGTTCTCAACCTTCCTAATGCGGCAATGTATGT